CCAGGATCCAGATCAAAGAAGAGTCGAGAAGTCGTTGACACAGTTTCCATGGCAGATAGCCATATCGGAATGACAACACCAAGTTGGATGGAGACAGATGGACTGCCGATTAATGAAGTCGAGAATTGCCGAAGGTACCGGAGTGAACTGAAGCTCAGCCGGAGTTCCCTCAACGGAGGTTTCAAACCTTAGATTCGCAAATAAGTACAAGTACATTTATTCCGAGACAAGTAGAAAAAGATCTGATACGTAGCGGGAGTTGAATCCCGAGGCAATCTCTAGGATTGATATAGATTTGTTGGAAATCATGAAGCCTGGCTCCGAAGAGCGGGTAGTCGTTAACGGAGCGAATGGAGGCGATGTTGGTATATATCGTGATGCGTGTGTGTGAAGTTAAGCGAGGGATCCCAGGATGAACTCCGGAGCGACGCGGAGTCGCTGACGAAGTTGCGGAGTGCTATTTGTCATCAAAAATCAAAGGTCCGAAGGTCCGGAGACCTGACCGGAGGAATTTCCGCTGCTGCTGATGACCTTGTACAGCGGAGCCGATGAGGATCTGCGGTGATCAGCAACGGTACGCACTAGACGAGGACAACCGCTGATGTGGTGGAGCGGAGAACCGCAATACCGGCAGAGGTCCAACTCCCGACGTCTCAGAGCTTCGCTCTTGCGGAGACGTCCCGCACGACCGCCTTCCTGCACAAGGAGGCCCGCAACGGATGCGGAGCGCTTGCGTTCTCGACGAACCTCCATCGACTTGGTATACGCACGGGGGTCCGGAGGAGATCGGAGAGAGCGGAGTGGGCGAGTCGTGGTGGATCGGTAGCGACATGAGTGACGGCATGCCGGAGGAAGTGTCAGAGTGAGTGGGGTTAGGTTCGGCAACGACTGGTGGCTCCGGGGTGCCGGAGAACAGCAGATCGTTGGTGGCGGGGGTTTCGGAGCCTGCAGGAGCACTGAGAGGTGTTCCAAAGAACCCGCGTGCACAGTCGGCCCAATTCCCTTGCTCCGGAGTACCGACAGGCTGCTCCGGAGTCGCGCTTCCGGCCAGAAGTACCGCCTGCCAGTGTTTGGCATCGAGCCGAATCACTAGGGAGCGGAGTCCGGCGTAGCTGGACGGATACGTGATGAGATCGTCGAGCTGCATGGTGATACGGAGTGGAAGCGCGGAGTAGAGAGCGTGGGAGACTGCGGAGTCATTCCAGGCCATGAACGGGGTGAGAGCCTCAAACTCCTCAAGGAATGGCCCAATTGGATCTCCGTGTTTCATCCGAAGGCGTCGGAGTTCGTAGTCCGCGTCGGCATGACGACTCCGACGTCCGAACACATCCAGGAATTCCCCGATGAACGTGGAAAAGTTTCCATGCCAGGAAAACACTTCGACACGGCCTGATTCGTTGAAAAGCTCAGCTGCCTGCCCCCTTAGGAAGTGGAGCATGAAGGCGATCTTGTCATCGTCCGAGGCGTATGTCCGAGGACGCCCGGAGAAGTGCGCGAAGCACTGAGTGATGAACGAATTGATTTTCAACGGATTAGTGCCGTCGAAAAATTCCGGGTATGGGATGTGAACTGGTCCGAGGTCATGGTACGAGGCCTGGGAACCAGGGACTGGTGGATGAGGAGGAGAATGGATGGGAGAGCAATACTGATCGATGTGCTGATATTCACCGTCGAGGTCGCGGTCCGAGGGGCTCGGAGTAAGCGCGAGCTCAGATGGAGTGAGTGTGGTGGATTCCGGAAGGGTGGATGGATCGCTGAATGTCGGGATCCAGGTGCCCGAGGAGGCCAGCTCTTCCCGAGCAGACTGCCGGTCCCCGAAGATCGACTTGGAGTCGGATCTCGACGGAGAGGGCGGTGCCGGAGAAGGATAAGTGGTGAAGCTGGTTCGGACAGACCCAGTTTCCGGAGGACCGAACGGAGTGGTAATCACCGAGATGGGGTAGTGACAAGATCAGATGAGCACTTATCGTCGGTAGGCTCGGTGTTGATTTGTGCGGAGGAATACAACTCGGCCCTGCGCCACATTGATGTCGGCGACAGGAGGAACCAAGGTGTAGTACGGAGCGATGATGACGACATAGCAAACGATACCGAGCAGGTGAGTTTTATGATACTGTTATATCCAAGTCGTCCAGAAGATGGTACGGAGGGATATAGGGCCAGTCGAACTATCAACAGATACGAAGCGGAGCGGCGGGCCGGACAGAACGGAACCGGAGTCCGGAGTCGGAGCTGGTGAAAGGCGGACTGGATGACGCTACGCCACAGAGGGGATAATTGGACGAGCGTTACTGCAGGATATCGTCGGAGGGAGAGAGATGACAGAAGCGGAGCTCCGGCGGAGTGTCGGAGCAGAACGACCAGACTACTTCACAAGGAACGGGGTGAAGCAACGTTTATCATAAAACTGAAGTACAGGAGGATGTAGGACAACATTAAATACTAGAGCTCCTTATTGTGATAGGTAAAGGAGATGTGTTAGAAACCATGCGGACATAACAATAAAGGTAAGTCCGAAAGGGGAGGAAGAAGTCAGGTGACAAAAGGGATGATGTTGAAACAATAAGTAAGAAGTCGGAGGACTTAGGATAATAAGGAATGTGTGGGATGGCGTCTTGCCATGGTGTCAGATGGTGGGAGTTCGTTCCGATGTTTTGTCAGAGCTCCGATCGTTCCGTTACTCCGGCGGTCCGATGCGCTCCGAGAAGACGGAGCGCGATCGGAGCCGGAGGGACCGATCAGAATAGTTTCTCGGAGGTCATAATGCATGGATATAACAGGTCCCACATACACTATAGCCAATGGTGTGGACCCTCATTCACCGCCAACAATGGGCTTTCGAGGGTGGCCAGGATCCCTGTCAGTCACTGCATTCAAGGGCCTCCTAGACTTAGCCTGAGTGTAGGGGCCTACATGGAACTACATGGAACTACACTGAGACTCACCTACATTGAGTTTGTGTAGGTCAATGTAGGTCAGTGTAGGTCAGTGTAGGTGAGTCAAGGTCGGTCTACGTGAATGTAGGTCGTTGTAGGTCCGCATAGGGACCTATACCGAAGGCAATAATATCCAATTATCATCTGCAATGAACTATACTGCATGATTTGTTTCCGCTCAAAATCCTTCTGAATTAACCCTGTTTTTGCCAATCGATCGTTCAATTTATTATAAGTTGGGTTCGAACTTCAAACTGATCAACTGTTACATAGTCTGGCACCAACTAATACAATGTCAAACGCTCCATCAAATTCAATTTGGGGCCACGAGTAAGTGCAGTCCTGACCGAGGTCAACGGAGGTGAGTGTAGGTGATACAGATCAGGTACGCTGACCTAAATAGACTCGGTTAAGGTGAGTTACGTACACCTACGCTGAGCTACGTACCCCTTCACTGAACTCCGTCAAGGTGGACGTAGGTCATCTATGTTGACCCATTGTAGTCGGCTACGCTGACCTACGCTCAGCTACGTACCCCTTCACAGACTCAGCGTAGGCCTGCCTTGAATGCAGTGAGTTACCTTTTCGGGAAATCCTTCAAAACTAAATTCGCTGGGCACTCAAAGTGGCACCAAAATTATCATAAATATGCTCAATCTCTTCGGAAGATGCGCGCCTATCAAATAGGGTCCACGAACCTGCGAAAAATCCCCGTGCAATATCAAGATTGGGCCGAAACCCCTTAGGTGGCCAGGTTCCCAGCGCGATATAGTAACCGTTTTATTTCCGTTTTATTTGATGGACCAAACAAACTGTTTTTAAACTGTTTTCAAACCATTAAAACCATTAAGTTCCCCGGCGTCTCTGGTGACCCTTGACCATTGTCTATACCTCCTATAGTCATCAGCAGGCATGGAACCACTCATTTCAGATCTAAACTATGTGTGTTTTTGCTACTGATGCGTGAACAGACATCGGGTTGGAAAAATCAACAACCGTGGGAATATTCGCTTTGGGGGCTCGGAAATTCCCAAGCTCATGTGCGAAGTCGGACTGAGGGCCGAGAGAAAGGTGTAGCATTTGAGGAAGAATTTTCAAAAACCAGAACCTTGATTGGTATCTCACCCGGGCCGAAAACTGCGAGATTGAACACAGTTGACACAAATGAAACCTAGTCCTAGAGAAAAACTGCTTTAAAAATGGTTTCAAACCGTTTCAAAACCGTTTCTGTTCTAGTTTGCCTGGCCATTCAACCTCCGAAATCTGGAGTGGTGGCTGTACCCCCCGAGCGGTCCATCAGACCGACGCGTTTCGGTCCGTCCAAAATCTCAGCCGAAAACGTCGGCACGCGTGTTTATGCAACCAAACACCGCACCTTCGGTCCGATGGAAATTCCTGGTTTTCCTACCTGCGGTAGGGTAAAAATTATAAAAACCATCTAGGTCGCCTCGGAAGGTGCCAAAACAATGGTTTTACTACTTAGATTTGTGATAAAGCGAGGAAATGAAAACAGCGTCTAAATTTAAGACAGCCGGACGGTCATCGGCCGGGGGGAGATTGATATCTGGCTTGTTTCGGCCGCCCACCTCTTGGCCTCAGGACCTTGTAGTGCAATTCGTTTAAGGTGAGTTACATTGGAGCTGTCCACCGCCCGGTGCAGGACAAGGGAGGAGTCGAGTCTCGAGATTCAAACTCCGCGGTCACACTCAAACTCCGACATCAGCAAACCCTGGGCCCACTCTAGAGTACTACAGAGCACTCTATAGTGCTGTAGTGTCTGTAGTGTCTGTAGTGAAGGTCCATGTCTATAGAGTGCTCCATAGTTGCCCCAGGACTATAGAGTACTCCATAGTAGGCCCCAGGACTATAGAGTGCTCCATAGTAGGGCCCAGGACTATGGAGTACTCTGTAGTGCAGGGCTCAAATTCAAGAAAAGTAACATCACCTTTGCCATTCAAGCCCTCTTTCAACCAGGTTTGAAGTTAACTGGAACGGGAGTGAGTTTAAAGTACAGTAGGTATTTCGGATTGAGCAGAGATATATAATATAATTAAGTTATTAAAGTGTTTCCTGACGGGATCGAACCCGCGACCGCGTGCATTCGGGCAAAATACAGGACTAGGTGCACTACCAACTGAGCTAAGAGACCATAAAGAGTTGAAGTACCCACTGTGATAGGTGGGTACCCTCTGATCTCCAGGTCAGTTTACTTCCCAACAAGTGACTCTTCAGGCTCTTGCCTACCGTCAACGTGTTCGACGGTCACTCCCATCTCCTTTGCTGAAAAATGCATACTCTGGAAATTTCTCAAAGGTATATGGGATAAAATATTTGCCAGACTAAAAATAGACCCTGAACGAAGTTGTAGAGCTCGAAAAGAGCTATAAGTGTTGTCTAGCACAAATCTTCCTTAGACGGCGTCGTTGAGGCAAAAAACGCGAAAAACTTTCTCAGACGCGGCGGTTTTGGAAGCCAGAACCAAAAAAAAGCACTTTCAGTGATTCGAAAGCCAAACAGTACTTTGTTCATACAATATGAATCATACCTACTCATTCAGAATGAATTTTGACAGATTATAAGCAGCCACAGTCGTGTGAGCTTGAATCGAGTTGACCCCAACGTCTGGGAAGGTGGCAAATGAAGTTAAGAGGAAGAAAACATAAGTTGCTTGTTCACTACAGTGTTGCAGGAGTATCATAGAATAGAGGCCGACTTCAGACTACAGAGTACTCCATAGTAGGGGTCCCAACTACAGAGCACTCTGTAGTAAGGCCCGTACTACAGAGTGGTGTGTAGTACTCTGTAGTTGGGCCCCTACTACAGGCCACTACAGGCCACTACCAGCCACTACCGGGAAAATCAGGGTTTGCTGATGGATGTCCCACGATCACGTTTTTTCACCTGCTTCTTCTTCAAGTTCTTGCCCACATCTGAATCAATCGTCGCGACCATGCTCTCTTCGCGCTTTGTCGGATATCGAATGTGCGCGTGCCCCACTCAGGACCAATATCGTCCGTGCGTTGAGCTCGATGCCGCCCTCTCCGAATCGGTCCCAAGACTCGTGGAGTTGATGCGTTGCCAAAGAAGACAAAAGCTCATCCATTTTATTTCTAACGTGCATTTCTCCCAGTTTCAATTGCGGGTTTCCCGCTCTTACCTACTATCCACATACGTTCATTCAACGAATTGCAGGCGGCAAAGAAGGGCACCTCGCAAGAGACTGTCCGCGGCCGATGAGCTGCATCCGCTGCAAGCAGGAAGGTCACACCAGCCGTTTGTGCCCCACTCCCCGACTTTCCAACTTATCGCTGGCGCAAACGCAGGAATACTAACAATTAATATCCGAAGCTACGAGTGCGGCTTGACAGGCCACTTGGCAACCGACTGCGAGGAGCCCGCCACCAACTTGACTTGCCTTACAACGAATTTCATTGCTTGCCTATGTTCTGCTGACGGTTGTGGAACAGCTGCCGTTGCGGCGAGGACGGCCGCCTGGCGAGGGACTGCCCACAGGAGATGACTTGGTGCGTCCAGGTTTCCCTGCACATCCTTTGTAGGACCCTAATATGAAATCGTCGATAGCTTCAGATGTGGCGCATCCGGGCATCAGGTTTGGGACTGTCCTGCGGACGATAGGACTTGGTGCACCCGGGTTCCTGTCCTAAATGTTTCGGATAATATCATAAAATCGACAGCTTCCGATGCGGCGAACCCAGGCATGAGTCACGAGAGTGTTCACAGCCGCAGTCCCGAAACCGGTCATGGCTCGTAGATACTCTCTCGCTTGCTTGGGCTCAACGCTACCTCCTTGTGTGATTTAGACCATACCATTTCGCCTCTGCGTGTTCGGAGTGGAAGAAGGGCTTTAGACGCGACTCCGGCCTGGGCAAAAGCTTCAGCCGCGAGTCTTCCCCGCGCAAACCCCGCGAGGGAGCAGGATTCGGGTTGAACACCTAAATGTGTATGTTGGCTTCTCTCAGTGCATGCGCATGCTCACCATACCTCCTCGCGCCGTTCGCCAGGCGCGTTCCCAAAAAGTCACCTGCCCAGTTTGTCCTTTTGTTCGCTTTTCGGTATTGAAACTACTTATACCGCTCCAACGTTCACGCTCGGAATATATCTTCGATACCCGGAATCAGCTTAACTTCTATGTTGCCCGATAACCGGCGCATTTCCAGCTTCACGATCGGCCGTTTCAAAGGGCAAGTCTTCAGCTTGGGGGAACGTCCCGCGACAGCTCCGCCTGCGGAACTCTGTAATTCCCCAAAATTCACTGCCGAGCACATTTCAGCGGTGGTCAATCCTCACTGTTTCCGAGTGGGTTTTCTTACTTCATCTCGGAGTGCGGTTCAATGACATCCCTTCGATGTCTAGAGTCCTCCGGCGCCTTCAAGTTTGGGCCTTAGCAGATCAATTTTCTCGCGGAGCAGCATGGAGTCCTATCCTCCCGCCTCTCTATAGATGATATGTTCCACTTCACACAAATATTCGCGCAACAACTAATGTTCAACGCAAGTTCAATGTCGCTCCGAATGTTCCGGTCAATTACCTCGATAAACGTCAAGCACTGCCTTCAAATTTATTGGCCTGCGGCACATGTCAAATGTATAAGCCGAGAATAACAACTGAATACGGATCGGTATGCACATAGATGATAGTATCCCGTCCAGATCACAACTCTATTCTCTACTCGAGTCTTGCAGCCGCCCCCGGGTCTAGACCTTGACGGCGACACATGGTAAGATGCGTCTCAGTTTACTTCTTCGTTCAAGGTCACCGGTGACTAGGCCTTTATTCAGACATATCATGGTACTCTGGAACATGTTGCTACCCACTGCGAAAACGCGCATAGCCACGGTTACAAATTTAACACATACTGAATAGTGCGTTCGGACACCGACGGTGCTGCGGTTTCCTTTTCTTTCAATAGCCGTGTTACCGCGACCTGACTTCCGGTTTTACCGATCAATGCCGCGGCAGCTTTGCGCCGAATCGGTCAGCACCGAGGTGTCACCTCTCGGGAACGCGGTTGTCGTACAGTGTTAAGATCCTGCCAGTGCGGCATTAACTTACCTGCACACTAGACATCTCCGCCATGAGTCCACTGACATTCGACCTTCCGGGTGAGTCTCTTCCGCCTGTGATTTTTTCTCGATCTTCACGCGCGATACTTTGCAGCAACAATTTCAACACTGACCCTCCGCGAAGATGCGCCCACTGACGACAACAGCCAGTACGGATACAAGCCTTCCGAGGCCATCGCTATACTCTTCATCACCCTCTATGGAATCAGCACCAGTTGCGACTTTTTCCATTCATGCAATGCTCAGCCTGTGAAACTGATGGGTGCCTTCTCCCCGCCAGTCCTCCATATCGGCCAGGCCACGTACTACCGCATGTGGTGGCTGCTCCCGACGGCGGCGCTCTGTGGTATCGGCGAGCTACTGGGATGGAGCGGCCGGCTTTGGTCCGCCATATCGCTCGCTGCGCAAACCCCCTTCCTGATGCAGTAAGTTTGAAGTTTGATGTTCCCTTGGTATTTCCGCTGCTAACAACTAACTCACTTGTCAGGATCTCGACGACGATAATCGCACCGACGCCACTCCTGGCAGCGAGTTTCGTCATCGTGGCGCGCGTTATTCAGCGACTGGGGACGTCGTATTCGCGACTTACGCCCAAGTGGTGTGCGTGTTCAAAAACCGTTCGAAAGAGTGTGCGCTAATTTCAGAAATCTTCCGCCCAGACACGATTCTCTTCCTTCCATGTGTGCGTCGTTCTAGCACTTGCCATGTAATGAGGAGCTCATGCGCGCTATATAGGACATTATTGCCCTCGTAATCCAGGGTGTCGGCGGCGGGATGGCTTCGAGCGCAAACGACCTCGCCGGGGCCAATGTGGTTCGTCATTAACAATCCACATGCATCCGCGTCCCCCCAACCTGATCCTCATATTTCGTGCAGGGCGCGCATGTGATGCTTGGCGGGATCGCGTTTCAATTTGGTGAGTCCTGCCTTTGTTTCTTTAGCTTCTGATCTTGCGCAGTGCCGATGCAATTTTTTTTTCAGCGGTGATCATCCTCTTCTCGGCGCTCACGGTCGACTTTGTGCACCGATATCTGCGGGACCGGCCAGTGCGTGTGGAGGCGACGGCCGCGGCGCGCGGGGCGCTGACTCCGCGCCTCAAAATCATGCTCGCCGCGCTGGCCTTCTCGACCACCACCCTCTTCATACGGTACGTTTGTGTTTATTCTTACCCCCTGCTCGTTGTCACATGAATCTATGATACTGATTTAATACGCCCCGATCAGTTCGGTCTACCGCATAATTGAGCTCTCGGGCGGGTGGGACGGGCGCATCATCCACACGGAGGTGTACTTCAATGTGCTGGACGGCGGGATGGTGGTGCTGGCGCTCTTTACGCTCAATTTCGCGCACCCCGGACTCTTGCTCCACCAGGCCCCCGCTAAAGAGCTGGTCGAGCTTCAAAGCCGCGACAGCTCGCCGCCGCTGGAGAAGAGTTGAATAGGAAGAGTGTTTTGACCGGGAAGGACTTATTAGACGCTAGACGATTCCCGGCCCAACCCAACAATGTTCCACTCGAGGTGATGATACTTGTTTCCTCGAATACTTCGTGGTTGAGATTGATTTCCCATGCGCTGGGAAATATAACTTATCACCAAAGCCGGGAGATCGTGCCCATGGTCAGTGATCCGCACAATCGTGATGGCCGATTGGCAGTGATTGCAACGAGATTGGAAGAGTTTCACTTACCATTGCAGCCTGAACACCGTGGCGATGGAGTTTTACAAAGGTGCACAACACTTATCAGCACTGGCTTGCATGCCATTCCGCGGGCCTTGGCCAGGACGTGGACGTGTTTATACTTTTCATGACCATCGTTGTGAATTAGTGCACTGCCAACGAATAAGCTCGAAAATGAATTAAAAGCTGTTAAACATTGGGGAGAGCTCCACGCAGTGGGCCCCGCGGCGAGCGACAGCACCACGCAGTGGGCCTCCGCGCGAGAGCCCCGTGCAGCGGTCGGGGTCTGGGGTGGAAAACCCCAGCCGTCCAGGCCGGCGCCCGTAAACAACGAAAAAAGGCTAAAAGTGTACAATAATGCAGGTACACCTTGAAATACCACTAGCGG